TTTTTTTTTTTTTTCTTTTTTCTTTTTGTTTTTACAGAACAAATTATCCTCTTATAGCAACTAACTTCGTCAATAATAATCAATAATCATCCTTCATCTCTTTCGTATATCTTACTGTTTAATAAATTATGTACAATCTCACAAACAACAAACGGAGGAACCTAATTACATCATGTAGTTGTTCACACTTCGCTATGTACAGGTACTACTAGTTTTTACAGAATTGCGCTTTCGCTCCACCTGCGTATGTAGTCGTTAATGCTTAAACTCTTGTCGTTCGCATATTCTATTTAAAAAACAAAACAGAAAAGAGAAAGAAAAAAGAGAAGAAAAATAGAGAGAAAAAGAAAGAAAAAGAAAGAAAGAGAGAGAGAAAGAGAAAGAGAGAGAGAACGAAAGAAAGAGAGAAAAAAAGAAAAGAAAAAGGATAGAGAGGAAAAAAGGAAAAAACAAAACGCCTATCGTCACCTAGTCTCAGGAACTGCAACCTTTTGCTTGCTGTGCATCGCGATCTAGGTGGCTGTGGTCGGAGTCTCCTGAATGGCTAAGGTTTGTGAAGAAGGCGCTGATGAAGATGTTGAGTCACCTGCAATTATAGAATTATTTTTAATAAACAGTAATTTAAAAAGATAGTAATAAATTATAAATTTAACATCAATTGAATTATATATGAATTTTTTATGAATAAGTATTTAAGTAAAGTAATATTTAATAAAATATTTAAATATATTTTTCATTTACATCTTATTGCAATATATTATTTTACAGAGTTTCATCTCTCTCATCAGAAAAGATCCTGCATCAAAACATATTCAATAAAGAATAGATATTAATCGAATTCAATTTTCAAATGTTCTTTTATCGTTAAGTCGAAGAATTATCTTGTCCTTAATTAAACATTATAGAAATGTCAACCTACACGGTCATCATCATCTGTTACTAGTTTTGTCTCTGGTCTTATCGAGAAACCGTTCTACGTAATATCGTGTAATTTTAATAGATTGTATCATTTGTAATAATGTTTCTTTCTAAACAATGGTAATCTCATTACGATATAATATTCTTGAATATTACATATAATAATATCGATTTTAGTAGATAAGCTTACCCAAGAGGGCAGCCTCTAAATCTCCTAAGATCTCCGTTTCCTTGGGATCGATAAGGTTGAAGCGTTGATTAAGGAGCGTGAGGTGGGCAAATACACAATTAAGGTGAGCATGCAACCCCAAGAGTGCTACCTCTCTGAAGTGGCAGTGGTAAATGTGTGCCACCACATGGTACAGTAGCCGCAGGATCTTACGCACTATCGATTCGAACGAGCTAGGAAATTCATTTGCTGAAACATTCAGGAAACCGATGAATTAATACGATTATGATTTCATGTATATATCAAAGTTACAAAAGATTGATATCATTAAGTATAACTATTATTAGATTTATATAATAGATATATATGTAATTGATAAATATAATTTTACACCAAACTCTCTTTTATTTAACTTTTATTTATTTTTACGATAAATTTTGATAATTATTTCAATATAAAAATATTAAAAATTAATAAAAGTAATATGCCTCATGTGATTCTTTATATCCCTTTATTCAAAATATTAATTTTTTAGTTAGAAAATTTTTACAGTTCAATATATTTTTTAAAATACAAAAATATTATAATTACTTATCGTTAATAATAATAATTATCATTTTGACAAGATAAAACAGATAACTTACCATATTTCGTAGGAAATATAGTTTCATCACTAACGGTGCGTTGTGTAAAAGTCATAACATAATCTATATATTGTGGCGCTGCCACTCTCGTTTTCTTTCCTTTCTCATCAAACCACAGATAAGTTCTGAAATATAAAAAAGCATGTTATAATTGATATATAATATAATTGATAAATGATACACTTAAAAGAATATGAAAATAAAAAAGAAAATTGTTCAAAGAATGATAATTCTTTCTTTTTATTTTTCCTTTTTATCATGAACATTAGATATAAATTTTAAAAGTAAATAGTGTGGAATTTATCATAAACTATTATCTAAAGTAATTATATATTATGATAAATTATGCTTGACTAATTTCTCTATTCAAAAAATTGTTTTCTACATTTATTACTATTTATATTCAATTCTATTTCAATTATAAATATAGTTTAAAAAGTTATCTACAACAACATGTTTAATTAAGATTAATTGCTTTGATGACCATTGATGATCAATATTTATATTATATATTATATTATATATAATTAGTAATCAACGTATGGATTAATTTCATCGATTTATTGAATATTATGATTAAAATATTTTGCATATATTCAATATAAAAAAAAGTAACTATAATAAAAAATGAAAAAAAAATATTAAAAATAATTTTTCATATATTACTACATGAAATTTCTTTTAATAAAAATATAAAAAATGCTATTCTTCTTAAAAATAACAAAATTATTAATCGAAAAATTCTTAATAAAATTTTCTTATATAAATATAAATTGTTTTTATACTATTGATTTTTTTATAATTGTTATACCTTATAATTATTTAAAATTTTTGTTTTCCTATGATAAAGATTTTTTAAATATTCTAAGTAAATAATTTATAAAAATAAAAATAATAAACTTTAAGTTATCTAAAAAAAATCGTTCATCTTTCTTATTCTCTCGCTATAATACGACCAAAATCAATTGACCGTTTAAAACAATTACAGTGTACTATTGATGCACTATTTTATCTATCTTTTTACCATTTTCTCTTTATTTCAAATTCTT